GATCAGGGTGTAGGAGATCTCTCGCGTGAGAGTGGCTATTACAACTAACATCTCTGACTGTGTAGACTCTCTGGGTCTTTTGTGTGTGTATATTAACATATATAACGAGAAAAAATATCTAAATGCTAAAACAGGTCCAGATGCAGTGGCCCATGCCTGCAACTGGAACACTTTGGGAGGCCAAGGTGGGAGGATCACTTGAGGCCAGGAGTTCGAGACCAGCCTGGACAACATAGAAATACCCTATCTCTAAAAAAGAACTAAGGCTGGACGTGGTGGCTCATGCCTGTAATCCCAGCACTTTGGGAGACCTAGGTGGGCAGATCGCTTGAGCTCAGGAGTTCAAGACCAGTCTGGGCAACATGGTAAAACCCTGTCTCTAAAAAAAATGCAAATAGGCAAAAATTAGGTGGGCATGGTGGTACATGCCTATAGTCCCTCCCAGCTAGTTAGGGAGCTGAGGCAGGAGGATCACTTTTACCTAAGAGGTCGAGGCTACAGTGAGCTGAGAAGGTGCCACTGTACTCCAGTTTGGGTGACAAAGTGAGACCCTGTCTCAAAAAATATTTTTAAATAAAATAAAAAATAACAATTAGCCATGCATGGTGGCACTGCACCTGTAGTCTCAGCTACTTGGAAGGTGGAGGAAGGAGGATCACTGGAACTCAGTTCAAGGCTGCAGCGAGCTATGATCACCCCACTGCATCTCCAGCCTGGGTGACAGATACTCTGTCTCTTGGAGGAGGAAAAAAGCTAAAATAATGATCCCCAATAAAAATTGTTCTTAAATTTCATTTTCGGGTCTGGGCATGGTGGCTCATGCCTATTATCCTAGCACTTTGGGAGGCCGAGGCAGGTGGATCACTTGAGGTCAGAAGTTCAAGACCAGCCTGGCCAACATGGTGAAACCCCATTTCTACTAAAAATACAAAAATTAGCCGGGCATGGTGGCGGGCGCCTATAATCCTAGCCACTTGGGAGGCTGAGACAGGAGAATGGCTTGAACTCACCAAGTGGAGGTTGCCGTGAGTGGAGACTGCACCATTGCACTTCAGCCTGGGCAAAAAGAGCCAAACTCCGTCTCGAAACTGAAATGAAATGAAATGAAATATCTATAGGGAATCTTTTTCTGTCAGTCAAAACAGACAGATCGAATTAACTCTTCTGAAGCGTAGCTTAGAATATTTGACCAGCCTGGGAGCTGGGCACAAGCCGGCAGCTAACCCCAACGTGGGCCTGGGTAGGAGGTGAGATCAGGAAGATCTCTGGGCCCCTACTAGTTCCCCGCCTGGCCTGCTTCCCCACTCATCTGGTGGTCCACGGAGCCAGCGCTGGGGGTGGAAGGGCGAGGAGTCCTCGACGCTGCAGCGGCGGTTCCGGCCCATGGGGGCGCTCTCCTACGTGGGAGCGGAAAAGCTGTGGCGCCCCCTTGCGTGGCGCGTCGGTCACAAAATCGCGTGACTTCAACCCCCTCTTCCCGAGGCTGGGTTGTCATGGTGTGGACCCCATTGTCGGCCTCTGCCCGTCGCCTGTTCCTCCCCGGCTCCCGCGGCCGACCCCAGCGCCATATGCAGCCCACAGGCCACGAGGGTTCCCGCTCGCTCAGCCGGCGGCGTGTGCGGCGTCTGCTGCTCCTGGTATTGGTGCTGCTGCTGCGGCAGCCCGTAACCCGCGGGGAGACCACACCCGGCGCCCCCAAAGCCCTCTCCACGCTGGGCTTCCCCAGCCCCTTCACCACGCCGGGCGTCCCCAGCGCCCTCACTATGCCAGGCCTCACTACTCCAGGCACCACCAAAACCCTGGACCTTCGGGGTCGCGCGCAGGCCCTGATGAGGGATTTCCCCCTCGTGGACGGGTATGTAGGTGCAGCGTTTGGGCAATGCAGGGTGAACACACCTTGGGCAGGAGAGGAGGTTCTGACATGCAGGGCTATCAAGAGGCTCCCTCACACCACCCCTGGATGCCCTCTCTCCTCCATCACCCATGGGTGCCCTTATCTCCATTGCCGCATTCGTGGTGGAACCTAACCCGCTCCCTCCAACCCGATTTCAGGAGATCTCTATATGGTCTGTGTGAGGAGCTGCCTGGTGGGGTGGGGGAGGGTAGACCCAAGCACCTGGTGTATCCTGACTGATCTGAAGGCCTTGTTTCCATCTGACCTTCACGCCCCCAGCCACAATGACCTGCCCCAGGTCCTGAGACAGCGTTACAAGAATGTGCTTCAAGATGTTAACTTGCGAAATTTCAGCCACGGTCAGACCAGCCTGGACAGGCTTAGAGACGGCCTCGTGGGTGCCCAGGTACCACAGGGACACACAGGGTGCCAGAGCATGGCTGCTGGGGAATGTTGGGGTCACAGAAACCTGGATCGGCTAGCCTCTGGGTGACTAAATACAATGGGGCATGCAGTGTGCCATCATGTGGCTTCTGAGGAAAGTGGGGCCTTGGAGGCCAAGACAGGCTAGCTGCATGGATGCCCAGGTTCTGTGGAAACATGCAGAAAATATAACTGGTGTAATACCTAAAAACTAGTCTCGAAAAGG